TATTAGTCTCAAAGTGGGTTCCTCGTCATCGAATTTTAGTTTTCTTTTAATGTTTAGTTCAATTGTTGTAAGTAAAACCGTTTCAACATAGTATGTTATTTTATCAAAATCTATGAGAATCAAAGTAAGTAAGTAATCTTCCATAGTGATCTAAGGACATATTCAAGACAAAATACAGTAACTTTCTTTTCTTTTTGCAATTTATGCATGAATAGCAAACGAAATCTTACACACATTATGATATTTTCATTCTTTTGATGCTTATATTTCAACTTATTTAGTAAGTAATAATTCTTACCATTTTTCTTAAATATTAATATATCAATAGACAACAAAGTCCTCTTTTTTTAGCTTCTATTTGCCTCATAAATTTTTACAAATTGAATACTAGTTTCTCCTCCAGTTGACTTATCGCCCTGTCTTTTGTTAACATAGTCATAGTTTCTTATCTAATAGGTTGTCATGTTTATATTCACAGGTTCATTAATCTTGATCTGGCAAACTGCTCTCCTTGTTTTAACTATGGTTTCGTCATTACGGAATTTAAAGATTTTAGTTGTTAAACAAATTTATTCGTACTTACACGAGGATGAAAATTTTGACATGAAATTTATTGAGGATTTTTCACTATTAAGATTCATACGTATAGAAGAAAATAACAAAACTGTATGTTTCTGCTGAAGCTGAGATAATAGAAAACGAGTTAGTTTTTTCGCAAAATTATTAAGAGAAATTTTGAAAAAAATTACAACGAACCTGTGCAATTTTTAACTGGACGTATACAACTTGTTTAGAGATTAGATTTCGATTTTGAGTCCAACTGGATTACATTTGAAAAAGCCCAACTTTTATATTTGAAGAATCTCACTGACGTTTGTTTATAGAAGTTGGAGTGTACGAATGCTTCATATCTCCGCAAAACTATGTTTTATATCTTTCGAAAACGTGGAGCTACAGATGCATGGTTTCTACCAGTGAGATTCATTTATTAGAGTGCTTGTAGTAGTGGTGATGTCTATATGTTTCAAGTGTTCATATAATTGTGATTCTTTTAAGTGTAAAGCTTCAGAATAGTTATAGATAAAAAAGCAGATAGTCCAGCAAAAAATATCTCTTTTTATTTAGATAAATCAGAAGTAATCAAGAAATAAATTAAAACAGCAAGCACCTGATAGTTGCTCTTAAGACAGTAAGCACATAATAGTAACTCTTAAGGCAGTAAGCACATGATAGTAGCTCTTAAGACAGTAAGCACATGATAGTAACTATTAAGGCAGTAAGCACATGATAGTAGCTCTTAAGGCATTAAGCGCATGATGGTAACTTTTAAGACGACAAGCAAGTGATAGCAGTCTTTAAAACAGTAACACATGATAATACTTCTTAAGGCAGTAAGCACATTATAGTAGCTTTTAAGACAGTGAACATATGACAGTGTCTCTGAAGACAGTAAGCACAAGACAGTCGATCTAAGGAAAGTAAGCAAAACATAACAACTAATCTAATGACATAAATATACATGCCAGTGGCTCTCAAGATAGTAAAAATATGCCCAAATAACTCGAATTTGTTATTCAAGCATGCCCAAATAACTCGCATTCCTTATTTCTCCATGTCCTAACAACGCTTATTCCTCAGTCCACTATGCCCAAATAACGTTTATTCCTTATTCCATTATGTCCTGATAACGTTTAGTCATTATTTCGTCATGTCCTAATAATGCTTATTCCTCATTCCACCATGTCCTAATAACGTTTATACCTTATTCAAGCATGCAAAAATAACGTTTATTTCTAATTTCATCATGCCCTAATAAGATTTATTCCTTATCCCATCATGTCCTAATAACGTTTATTCCTTATTCAAGCATGCCAAAATAACATTTATCCCTTATTCAAGAATGCCAAAATAACGTTTATTCCTTATTTCATCATACCCTATTCCTTATTCTATCATACTATAATAACGTTTATTCCTTATTCTATCATATCATAAAATGTTTATTCGTCTATCCTATAACTTTAATACTGCTATTTGTTTTATTAAAGTGTATTCTGATAACTATTCTGTTAATTTTAATATGCTTCAATAACATTCCAACACGCTTTAATAGCTTAATTTGATATTCCAATGTGTCATAAAAGCTTTTCCTTTGGTTATTCCAACAAGTCCTAATAGACTTTATTTGCAATTCCGTCATCACAGTATATTCTATTACTCTTTCTTTTGTTTGGTATTTCAATACGTCTTAGGATATATTCTTTTTTTATTACTCCTAGATTTCCTACTAGTTCTAATAGAAACGTTGGTAATTTATCCGAAAATGTTCTAACATCCTTTTGCTCCTTATCCCAACACTTATATAGCTTTTTTTATTTCAAGACATCTTAATGTCCTTTTGATCATTATTATAACAATATTTTGTTACTTGTTTTATAGCAAGTTCTAATTGTTTTCCATTTTTTTAGGAACCCTGAGTCAGAACTATTATATTTTGTATTTCATTTTGATTATACAGCTGAATATCAGATGGTATTAATATCATTATATGAAATCAACATAAACGTGGACATATGGTACCTAATCTATGGAACCTCAATTTTAGGATAGAAGTTTATTTTATCACTTCCCTGTTATCTAATTGTAAGCATCTGCTTTTCTAAATCTGCCTGCAGACAAAGATTGGTTTCAAAATTTAGGACGATGTGGCCATGAGTTTTTAATTCTGCACATAAAATTTTAAATTATTTGTATGCAGTAAAGAAACTTCAAATAAAAATTCAACCCAAAGACCTTATATCTTTACCATTATATACACCCTCTAATCAAAAGTATCTTTTAAAACAAGCTATAATTCCCAACTTATGGTTTGTATTTTATAATCATTTGTTTTACTCTTGTTCGTACAATACTGTCTTGATATATTTCCGCAAAACGTTTTCATCATATATTTGAATTGCTGTTTTTATCTTTTTTTCCGCTTTGTGTAAATTATTTTTACCATTTCATTAATTGACTAAGTTTATGTTTAAAGTATTATTTTTATAAATGTATAACAAATGTTTACAAAGAGCTTAATATCTCCATTTATTAACTATTTATACGATAGTAAAAAAAAACAGTATTTTGTAAATGCAATTTAAAGTAAAATAAAACTCGTATACATAAGTTACGAATTATCAATAATATAACTCAATATATATTTTAGGAACATAACGAGAAGAAAATGCATTTTTCTCTTTAACTTTCATTATACTGAAACTATAGGAATCGAGCTATGTTCTAGCCATTAAAACTTACTAAATCATTAACAATTGAGACATAATTTTATCTTCAAGAGAGAGGGAGAGTTCTTACAGTTTCTTACAATGAATGTTATCAGGGATAATTATCATTAAAATGTCCTTAAGTGTGCTGGTTAATATGAAATGAAGTAATACTGATGATTAAAGGTTGTCTAAAACTTGTCTACCCAGAAAAATCGTGTGGTGACATTAAATTGATTTAAAAGGTCTCTTATGCACTTAATCTCACGGTGAGACAGCGGTAAGTCTCTGGATTTACAGCGCTAAAATCAGGGGTTCGATTTCCCTCGGTAGGAAAAGCAGATAGCCCGGATGTGGCTTTGCTATAAGAAAAACACTTTTATGCAGTTAAGATAGAACTCATATAAATTCAACGTCAAAGCTTAAAAAAACATGCATATAAACATTACAAAAGTTTATGTATGTTGAAAAAACAGAAACAGGTGAGAAGAAAATCAAAGTAAGATTGTTTATTGTTAAGCACAGAGCTACACAATGGGCTATCTGGGCTGTGTCCAATGAGTATAGAAGCGTAGTATTTAGCGTTTTGAGCCCTCAGACTTACAGCTGAACCATTGTGGGTGGGGGCTTAATATTTTAGAGATGAAATTAACTTAATACGTTTGTTTGAAAAACAGCCACTTTAGGCTATCTGCTGTGTCCATCGCAGAAAGTTGAACCCCGAATTTTGGCGTGGTAAGTCCGTAAATTTATCATTGACCCTCCGTGTGACATAAAAGTAAGAGAATATTCAAGTGCTCAATACAGGGAGAGTTTGACTGAACAGCCTGAAACACCATGTGTGCAGTAATATCGTGGTTGCTGTTTCTTTACACAGACACAACGTTTAAAAAAACTATATATTTTTGTGACTTATAGCAAGTAAGGTTTTCCAGGCACGATGGCCACAGCCTATCGAAAGCTGTTTTAGCTTGGCAAGACGTAGTAATGTTTCGAAACAACATTTAATAGCGAGAAGAGGACACAGTAATCCATTCATACAATATTTTGTATTTATAGCAACTTAAGGTAAAGTTTTCTTGCTTTCGTCAAATCTTCTATCTAGAGCACTAAAGATATATAAACATTTAATTTGAAAAAAAAAAACATCTTACTTATTTCAGCTGACATTGTGACCACTGACCCGCTGTGTATTGACTTTTGTGCCTGAAATAAGGTTATAGTTAGTGGATCAACGTTAAGCGAATAACTTAATATAACGTTCGAGTCGGTAAATAGTTTTGTTTTGAAAGCTGACCTGTTATATATATATCATAGAATATTACGTTATGTTCACTAAAAGCACCAACCTCCGGAAAACACAGATGTTTTCGTCGTCCTAGTGCTTAAAAGAAACCGTAGATAAACTATAGTAGACAAATGTCATTTGCAGAAAAAAACAGCGAAAGTTAAATAATACAAAAAAACAAACCTGATTTCAAGAGTCTTGTTTCATAAACATCATAGATGTTCGTTTTTTTCGAGTGAGTTTCAAATTGTTCTGACTACTAGTTGTCTATTTTTAGCTCCTCAAGTCAATACTTATTAGTGTTGTTTTTGACTCCTCAACTCAGTATATATCTAATAATGGCTGGAGACGGCTTGAATGGGAAATGAAGAAAAACTTTAATATAAGTTTAACATAACAGCAACCTGATGATGACAAAACCTTGTCGAAATGTTGTACATTTGCTGTTATGTTAAAGTTATATTAAAGTTTTGCTTCATTACCCATTCAAGCCGTCTCCAGTCATTATTAGTCTCAAAGTTGGCCACATTGTTTCCTGTGTGGGATGTATATATGTCGAAGAGAAACAATTTAATAACTTTTATAGAGCATGATTTCAAAGTACCAGAATTTTAATAAAAAGATAAATTTGCAGTTTCTTTTGCTAGAATTAGTAATGTAAATTTTAGGCTTGTCATAAAGAGCGCCAATAAAAGAAAAATGTTAACCTATCTATCTATTGTTGCTCCGCTCATTATCTCACTACCGGTTGTAGTTTTTACTCTTCAAATCAATATCTGCTACTGTTTGTGGTTCCTCAACTTCGTATTTATTACTATGTGCTGGTTAAACAACTCAGAACTTGTTACTGTTTAAACTTCTGTAACTAGCAGTAAAGTTTACCCACATATTGTTCAAGCGTATAAGCCTCTTATTTCTGTTTAGAATGTGATAGCAAATATTTCATGACTAAACATAAAAATTAGTGTTAAAATAAACCAATTGAAATCTTGTTCTAAGCTGTCTGCAAAATGGTCTCAGACCGTTTCTAGAAATAGTATGAGGTGTACATTCGGCTGACCTGTGGAATATATAATATGAAGCTTTTACTATGGTTTCAGTGTCTATTTATAAACTAAAATATTACTCAAACCATGTCGAGATATAAATATTCAGCAAGATAAGTAATGTTCTTTACTATTTTTGAAATGGAAATTTATCTTAAAACTAACTATTCTGGCACCATTTTTTCTGAACGTTGTGGAAAAAGAAACA